TATATATATATATTCATACAGCGCATACTTTCAAAGAAAAGTCCTGAAGATCTTCAGAGGATATTCTCAAAACGTCTTTCAGATAAAGTGTATCGTGTGATAATGTTTTCCTTAAAGCTTTTTCTTCATAAAAGCTCAATTTTTTTTATTTAATTTCCTTCAGGTGATTGTACTGGCTAGTCTAAGATTGTGTGTCATTTTCGAGTTTCTTCAGGCGGTTCAAAAGTTGTCAAGATATATAAACAATAGGATTTGAATGACATATATTAAGCAATAATAAAATAGGTCATTAAATGTATTTTAAAATAGTATATACTTTTTTAAAATTCTAATAAATTAAATTTTCTTGCAGATAGGGTATATGTTGTTGTGGGGCAGACTGTAAATTCTTTCACCTGGCGCAGCGGTGAAGCGATAACACGTCCCCGATGTCAAGCTGCGAGGATCGCGAGATTATCTCGAGATTAGTACATTCCGTGTAAAATTTAATGTAATGACGCGCTTACATATATGCTACTAAATTATACGCACGCTATCGTATGTTGAATTATTGATTTTCGTCGGTACATATATGTACTCACTCGTTGTTCTCTGCCATAGTCTGACGATTGCAATGTGCAGTAGGTTGGCCAGGAGTCTGATTAAAGCAATGTGGATAACCATAATAACCCCATTTAGCTTTAGGTCGAAGCTTCTTTGCCATATTCAATGTCTCCTCCATAAATATTCTGGCATATTTTTCGAAGCGACGCTTCGCTTCCTTTTTAACGGCGCTTTCGTTCCAAAAGGGATGTCTCTTATGTTCTAGCTTTATAGACAGAGTTTTGTAGGGCTCGAGAGAGGCCCAATTTTGTCGGAAGATAGGTCGCCAGCTCTCAAAGTCTATCACACCAATACCGCTAAACGACCCGTTTGGGATTTGTTTAATCAAGTTCTTTTGGAATATCTCGAGATGTTTTTTCAGATCACCTTCTTGAGGAACACCGCCGTTTCTTACGTTTGTTACGGTCCCTAAAAATACAAGAATTAATTACTTCGGTAATCGAAACAACGTAAAAATTCAAAAAATTCAAAAAAGCCAAAATAGCAAAATTAATATTAATAAAAGAAATATTTTCATATCTGGCAGATACCAAGGAAGGACGACAAATTACTTGAAAACTGATAAAACTAAAAATACTCAATTGTATCTAACAGATATGCAAGAAAGTCGATAAATTAAACAAAATATTTTAAATAAATTTGCTTAAACTTATAAATAGATATCTAAAAAAATTATTAAAAAATACTTTTTTATAGATCCAGCAAACATCAACTAACAATAAAATAATTGTTAAATGTAAAATAGTTTTCTCATTCAATAATATATATAACTGCAATATAACGTATAATAATTATATAATACATAATAGTTACATTATTGCGTGGAAAATTATAATTGCGGCAGTTATATCGCCACGACTCGCCGGAAAATCGAATGCATATGCACGCATATGCACGCAGCATATATTTGTTCAGCTTGTACACATATGAGTGCACACACAGAGAACAGTGTACACAGCTTTTTGATGTTAACACAGACAATAGACATAGACTTTTTAAATTGATTAGCTTCTTTTGTCTATTGACTATTTACATTCGGGCATTTAAATGGAGTAGAATAAAAGTTTCGTTATTTTGTATTACATCGATAATCATATTAATTCAACTTTTGAACAGTTACAATAATAAATTGCTCTCCAAGAAATTAATCAATTATTTAAAATTATAAGGACATATAGACATAAATAGCGATTAACAACAAGGATTAGCAACGATAACACGGAATAATATTTTGTGTGGAAAGACGAGCTTCAAAATCATTGGAATAAATCGCTGAGTTATAATAGTTATACCGAAATTTTTTTATTATTAGGAACCGCTCCCAACATACATCGCCAAATAATTAACAATTATGTTTGCTAGATATTTTTGAATAATTTTATTTAATGATAAAATGCAGTTTTAACTCACCAGTTTTATCGGTCAATAACGCCGGAAACATTCCGGGATCATAAAGGATTGCAATTTCTTCTCCGCGAAACTCATCCATCGTATTTTGATGAATTCCAAAATCCTTGAGATCATCGAATATCACGTTGTACTGATTACACATAAAGGTAGGCACGTTCCAATAAACGTCAAACTCCCGCGAATTGTTTGACTGGAGAGTCGTTGTGCCCCAGCTGAACAGAAACACGAGGTGATTCGTAAGCGTGGACAATGACACCCATTAGATAAGATATTTTCGGTCTACCGGATCCTTTCGGACGCCTTGTATTTATAATAGAATCTCTAAATTGGATTAGCAACCCTCGTACTAATAACTATGTAACAATGTATTTAATCTAAGAAGACATGACAGAACATTTTAAAATATATTTATAATACAAGTCAATTTAAAAAAATTCAACTGTATTTTGGTTTTACCTATTTTCAAGCAATTTGTTATTCTTCTTTGATATCTGCCAGATATTTTCTTACAAATTTTTAAGTATCTCACGATTCTATCTGATAGATACGCAAGAAAGTCGACAAATTATTTAAAAATTAAAAAATAAATTGTTTTTACACGAATTTCCAAAGGATTAAAAAATATGTAATAATGTTTTGAGCGAGATACCCGAGAAAAGTGGCGGCTGCGACAGACGCGAAGGCAAGGATCAAAGAATATCGAAGTAGCATCGTGATAGCCCGATCCAAGTTTGGAGCAGAATACAAACTTCGACAAAGCCTCTCGTTGATTAATTACAAACTACGTTCAAAC